CTCAAACTGCCACACTCACCGAAACATTCGAATCACTTCCTCAACTTGGTTCTCATAACCAACTCGATGTGCATTAACTCGCAAGAAACAAAACATGGCACTGTCAAAGGTAACCAAATCTGAAACATTGGCTCTAATCAATCTTAAAAATGATAAAAGCATAGCCATCACAAAAGCTGATAAGGGGAAGTCTACAGTGGTTTTGGATAAATCTGATTATTTGAAGAAAGTCACTGAACACATTCAGACGCGTCCATACGAATGTGGAAATTGAGAAGCCTGTAGATGCATGCAGTAATGAATAAGGTTAAGAAATCTACAGGGGATTTAATACGCTGAGTGAATCCGTCACTGAGTGAGTTTGAATGGTTTAATTTAATGCCTGACACTAATAATGATAGCAGAATATATGGTACTATAAAAACACATAAGCCGGGGTACTTCATACGACCAATAGTAGATTTCAGGAATGCACCTTCTTGTGAATCATCAAAACACTAAACTCTAATACCATCATGTCCCATTAGACTTCGTTCAATGTCTAGACTAACTAATTCATATGAGATGGGAAAGAAACTAAATGACATTCAACGAGAGAATGACGAATCAATGGTCAGTTTTTCATTAACTAGTCTTTACACTAATATACCATTCAATATGGCAGCCTCAGAAGCGGATAAAAGGGAACTAATTGCAGATCCTGAACTCTCTCGTAGGACGAAGCTGCCCATTGAGGAAATTAATTTAGGAATTCACTTATGCCTCACATCTACTATCTTTAAATTCCAAGGCAAAATATATACACAAACAGAAGGTGTAGCAATGGGGTGGATGATCAGGAATATCTCCTATCTTGTAGACATCTTTATGGACAGCTGGGAGAACACTGTTCCAAATACATTTAATCCTACTCAAGAAATATCGTGGAGATATGTGGATGACACTTTCACACACAGTGTTGCAAACAGAACATATCAGTCTCTGGCTTCTTGACACACGCACACACACAGGCATATAAACTTACTAGTAAAGGGAATAAAGTTCACATCTGAATCGGAAGATGAACAAGGAGAATTAGCTACGGTGTTAGATTGTAAAATAAAATGAATAGAAGGTAAACTGCACACCAGCGTTTATCAAATGGCAACGCATTCTGCTAATAGATATTCAGACTTTAATTCATCTCATCCGTTGTCGGTCTGTCTGTGAAGATTGGCTCAGTAAGTGTGTAACAAACTGAGCAGTTGCACTAAGTAGTACAAGGAAATACCTAAATGACGAAATGAAACAGACAGAGGAAGAAGCATTGGTGTCAAATAACTAACTATTCTATAAAATTCATTAGGAAGATCAGAAAAGGTCAAAAGCAAAATTAAAATAATGGAGAAACTAGTAATGATAAGATAAATAAGACATCTACAGCAGTTATACCATATAAGTAGGGGACAGCTGAGACCATCCCCACCTAGGATTCTTAATAAAGCAACAGAATTGGGCTGGCATTCAAAACTGCATTCTCACTCAGGTAGGACAAGCTCTGTAGGTTAAACGCCCCAGTCGGTTGACCCAATTAGACAAAATAAGATAATTTCCAAAATTTCTTGCAATGACTGTGAGTTAGGTCAACTACATATGTCAAACCAATAGGTCGGGAGTAGTCAGATGAGAATTTAGCCAAGGTTGAAATGGTTGACCCCACTCGAGAAGATGAGAAATTTATGTCTCTACAAATAGCCTACTAACGCTTGAGTACATCGGAGTTACTTTCCTACTTCCACTTTTTTAAATGAGTCGATGTTAACGAATTGTACGTCGCTGTGATTAGACATACTGAACATTGAAACTATAGGTTTGCTCGACTGTTTTCCAACGTTCTCTGTCAGGGTTTCACGATATCTTCCTTCGTTGTTATTTAGCGTACTATCTAGCCCGCGGTCAGTCTGACTAACAACATGCTTCTTACTGCTGTGATTGGGATAAATGGGAATCACTTCTGACTGTTAAAAGATGCAGCAGTCGCTCCTGTTGACATTATAACCACTAGACTTGGCAGTCCTTACGTAAACACTGTCTGGTTGAATGTGTCTCCTTTTTGTTGTACACGTTTTACACCTAGCATCAAGGAGTTACAAGGGATTGGCCGAAACCAAGTAATTTTCAGCTGGTTTATTTGCTATCTTTATGGAGTCGTATACGTGCAACGGCTATTTCTCTTCATTCTGTACAGCATCACTAGCTAACCTTGAGTTGAACTTGATTTAGCATTCGGCTTCCTTGTGCAGATATAACCAACTCGCTCACGTCAATCTATTTTGAATGACATGATCACCACGGAATCTCGAGATAAACTTGGTGCACACTAAAGGATGAATGGAATCCAGACAAGTACTCCACTTATCTGTAGTCAACAACAGTGTGGTCTATTTGAGTGGCGAAGGGAAGACTCCTGGTAGGACTGACTAATTCATTCCATGCCGGGAGTTAATGCTGCTTAAAAATACGTCATGGTCTGCACAAAGCTGCCGAAGATAGTCCTCACTATCTGACCTATAAGCATCTAATATCTAATAACCGCATATAAACGACTCTACTGAACCTAGACGCCCTCACCTGTACATTGAAAATATCGCTGCAACATGTGTCTAACGAGCGTGCTTAAGAAGTTTTCTCATTCGATGGCAGATGTCATCCTTAATTGCACTTGGATAGAAATACAACGCTTCTCCTAACCCAATAGTACACACAAATTACTGTTAGTGAGGATCCATAAAAGAAATGCAGCTTAGACTCCAGCAATCAGTATTATACCAACCCCAGTGATGATATCATAGAGTCCCTAGAAGAAAGCGTGCGAAACTCAATACTTATAAACTGACATACGGAGAAGTTATTCGAAGTACTTCACTGAGACCTCGTTGAACGGTATCTATCTGGTAGGCAGCATACATCGACAGCGAGGCTTTCTAGTGTTCTGCCCTAAACTGTCTGTTGACCGAGTGGAACCTCCGTGACCGATGCAGTCGAACACCTGTATTCAAAGGAAGATGTATTTACGGCCATGCGCCTTTAAACCAGCCTGGTTCTCGCCAATTTACTGTTTTCTAACTGTAATTATGGATCTTATGAATTTAGAGACTACAAAGCTAAGACTGATTGCCCTTGTTGTAGTGACAAGAGAATTCAACTTATTTCTTGAGGACCATAATGATTTATACATCAAACACAAACTTGGCATATCATAGGCACCGAGAGAGGTGGGCAAGGTCTGTTTTACTGGTCAGGAAGCCCACCGACCCCCCTCCCCGAGCCTCTGACTTGAAGTCTTATCCACAAGGCAATGGAACTGTGTCTCCCATGGTTCACACGCCATTTGATCCGTTTGGATTCTAGAACCCATGTTTTCCAACTCGCCTAGGTAGACTAGCATGTCCGAAATCAGCAAATCAGGCATGTTTCAGAGAACCAATTCATACTGGTTGACTAAAAATCATTTGAAACACGCCAGAGTAAGATTCAGTGCATACTTCCGACCCAAGAAAAAAAATTCATTCATCGGACAACACAACCCACCACCAGGCGAGTGACTGCTTTCAACATAGACCTTCGCACAGATGTGCACCATTTCACACTCCATGTAGCACATAAAGCAAGACAAGAGAATAAAAAGAGAGATAACAAACAGAAATGTGAGGGAGGAAGAATAGTAATACGGCAGAACAGTAGAGTTTTATTGGATATGAGAAATCACAAAGAGTGAATGCATCTGCACCAGCCATTGAGAACGACGATTTTGAGGCATATCACCATTTTCCCCAGCCTCCATTGGTTTTTACCATCCCGAGAACCCCAACATCTCCCTAGATGACTGGCTTATGAATTTCATTTTTTCGTTTGACTATCACTAACTCTTTTCTAACCTGATCCATCCTGTCAGCTAGCATTGCCCGTCGAGGAAGGCGATTAATGGATAGGCATGCGTAACCATCTCAATTGATGTAACTTCACAGCCTCATCGATTGATTTCCCCTCCTTACCTAACATTCGACTCGAGCCTAACCTCAATATTGCTCACCTTACTATACCTACCACCTAACATGGGAGATAGAACTCAGACACCTATGATCAAAGACAGCTAGTCAGCCTTTCTATGTTTCCCACTTTCAATGGTCATGTCTCACTGACAGCCATAAAGCAGGACACAGCGAACTGCTGCTCGGCAGTACACACGTTCTTTGATTGATAGCCACCTGGATATCACGTCCACTAAGCCAGAGATGCCGTGATTTCGTACATGCCAAACGAGCCTTCTGTAACCACGCTATGATTTCGTCAACGATCAGCCCGTTGGCACAGGCTGATGCAACTTCCGAAATGAGTGAAGTGCTGGTCAACACGGCTAGCTACTTCACTCTTGCCTATCTTTAAGCCAGCAGTCGACGCAGTCTAGTCCAGTCATGTAGCATCATCTTACATTTGACAGGAGTGGATTGCATGCCAAACATTCGAAGATTTCTGTTCCTCAAGGTGTCTGCATTTTTTCTTCATATTCTAAGTCAACGAGATTCTACCCTAACAACAAGTCAATCCCTGAGTCACTGAAGTCACTTAGTACAAAATCTATGATGTAATTACACAAGACACCTAGACAGTGGGCATCCTTCACCGATAACCTTTCCTTCGCATGGTAACCCTCCATAGACTCTTTTATACCTAGTTGCATGAGTTCGAGTAGACTGCCTACTGCCTTGATCAATACGATATGTACGACTTTCTCGGCATTCCCTTCACGTACAGACACATTGCCACCATATTACCACCACCTCTCGGTTGATGAAATCGAATACCACCACCTTCCGGGGGTTGGTCAAGAAAAATACGCCAATTGTTGGAAGCCGCCTATTTTCCAGATCCTGTCGAAGGATGAAGATTTGATGACGATAAATACACCCCACCCCAACTTCCTTTGTTTCTCCTCCAGGTGAAATATTCAATAGTAGTAGTACTAGTAATTATAAATTTATTTAACAACCAAAAGTAACTTCAACAACACGGATACATCATCTTTTAGCAATAATAATAATTACATAAATCTTAAAAGGGAAATACACGGAGAAACAAAAAACAGGATAGTAGTTATCTCAAGTTTGCCTCTTTAGTTTTTTTGTTTAGTCTTATACACTAAAACAAAAATACGCAACAGCAACGATAACAATAACAATAACAACAATAGTAGGCCTGAAAATAAAATCTAAAGAAATATAACATGATTTCACATCTGTGTGGTGTGTGTGATTGTAAGTGGTACAGAAAAACGGGACTTGGAAGTCACACACCCACTGACTCACTCACTCATTAACACTTTTATACAGATAGATAGGATGGATGGATGCATGGGAAAGGAAACAATAACAATAGTCATCATTTACAATAAAATATTGAAAGGCAATGGTCTTCGTGATATCTGAAACGTATACACACAGTTTAGTGAAACAGTGGCAATGGGCATAATGGGGATGATGAGGATAACAATAATAATAATAATAATAACAGTAGTGTTAGTAATGATATTCGTCAATGGTAATGATACAATGCATACATACATATACACACATATATATCTATCTATATGTGCAGTTTTTTATTCCTGTCAGCCGCCTTATTCATCATTTCGACGATCGCTTAAATTCCTTCGATCGGTTACTCGACTCGACAATAAATCTGCATGACACATTGGACAGAAAAATTGACGTCTCATCCATTCAACAAGACAATTTATATGATACAGATGGCCACAACGCGTAATCTTCGCTGTAGGTATTGTCATTTCAGTATAGCATATTGGACAGGTATCACCGAATGTTTTCAGATCTTCACTAGTCGGATGAACTAGATCGTTTAAATTCTTGTTGAATAATAATTTCCACCGAATCCATGTATAAGCTTTATGCGCTGATGGATAAAGAACGAAGAACAGGTAACAACAGATAATCAACAGACGACATAGTCCAATGGAATCGTAGAACAATAACCAACAGATTGATAAGAAGGAGAGTAGAGAGAATATATAATCCAATACAGAACTGATCACTTTTATCCAGAATAACACTGGTCGAAAACCTCGCCAATCAGGAAAACGAAGATGATACTGGTAAACAGAATATTCAATCAGTGTAACTGTTAAACCAAGCAACAATTGACAACCAATCAAATATATCCTTAATTGTCTGGCACGGATTGCCTCCTCTGATGAACCAAGACGTGATGCAATACTTATCAAGGTTGTACTGACATTACTATTATTATTATTCATACTGTTGTTAACCTCAATTCTTTCATATAACAGTATATAAGGTAAATGCGTGAAAATATTGAAAGCAGCAAATATCAGGACAATACAAAAACACAATGGTCGTATATGCGCCAACCAATTAGTCTGTCGGCCTGGTATACCAAGACGCAGAAGAATTGATTTAACCAATGCTTGAACAGGATGAATACAAGTGATGAAAATCACTACAACCCCGTACATACAACATGAAGCCCGATGAATTGGCTGAAGATTAGGCATATCTGATTGAAAGGCGAAAAACAGGAAGACAGCAGCACAATGCCAACGATTGCTAGTCAGCAAATCAAAAGCGATGACATCATTTTGATCTAAAGCCAATGCGGGATCTTCAATCACATTCCAACCGTTTGGATCGGCTGGGGCGTCTGCAGCTGCTATCGCCAACTGAGCTGTTCGCTCACCCGACGGGTCTAGTAAGAAGACTAACAATGAAACAAAAATCGTACCCAAGGCGCTAAAAAACGCCGCTGCACCGAATACAGATAACCATGTCTCTGAACCATGCACAAGAAGAGCAACATACAATCGTGTAGTTAGAACAGATAGTGTTGAACAATCACCAGTATCTGGATTAGCATAAGCAATCAAAGTGGAAGAATTGATTGGTCTCGCGGAAAAACTAACCAAACTAGCACTAGTGTTACCACCTATACCTCCTTCTGGTATAACATTCCAGTAAAGCGGACCTAGAACAATAACTGACATTACTTTAAATGACCAAAAATAGGTTAGCATCTGGGCAACTTGTAAACGACCCCAATGAAATACTAGATATTCTACAGGTCCAAATCTATAAAATTCTATCTCTGAGATAAGTGATGCTTTCAAGGACTTGTAAGCTTCCGTGATATATAGACAGTAGAATAATAGAATAACATATATGCATAATAAAATGAAAGAATAAACTATCAGTAAAGTTTTATGGTGACATGTATACTCTGAAACGATAGTGAACAATTCATGACGAGTATCACTGGCTGTTAATGACGACGGTGATGATGATGATGATGACAAAGGATAAACACTCGATTGTGGCAGACAAATAGAACGTGAATGACAATCTATGCTAGAAGAAGAATGCACTGATTTTGCACAACAATTCGATTTGAACATAATATACACATAATATAACCATGTTGGAGAGATTCTAGCATTGTTAGGCGTATGTATTGTAAGGGATTTGAACGAATCAGCTGCCGGCGATAATAGAAGAAGTTTTTCACTAGTCTGAATTGTTGACAATGGATTGATAAGAATAGGGATAGAGAAAATGCATAGGACAAAGAGATACAGGATAATAACTGCACGGAATTTATGCACTGGTATTCGATTGAACATGGAACACATTGATATAAACAAAACTGAACTGGCGGCTAGTAAACAACCCAATAGATAATGCCGTTGCATTACAGACGATAGTGTGAATGACAATGAAGTAGTCGACGGCGTAGAAAGTGATGCAGCAGACGGCAATGTCGGTGAGATGATGGTGTCCAACAAGAACATGTAATTGGAAAACATGGCATATATAAGTAAGAGTTGTGTTAACACAAATCCAACAGTTACTATGCCTTTAATATACATGACTGATGCGAATATACACAGGACGAAAGCTGAAAAAAAAGAGAAAATCGGAAAAAAAACACAGAATGGAATAGAAGAAAAAATAGGACCGATTCTCTTGAATAGTAAGGTGAAGTGAGGCACAGACTGAGAGGAAGCCGTCGAAAATTGAAATCAACATCTTAAGTCAGTCAATGGTGGTTGCAGAATAGAGTTTCTTCACGTTGTGGACATGAAATAACCGCATTGGTGTACAACTTGTTTAACCTTGGGTCAATTGCCAACCAATCAAAACAATGTATTGTTTTCTGAACTAGCCCAAAATTTACTGTAGCTAAGAATGCATAAACATGAAGTGTTTTTTTTCTTAGTAAAGGTCCGTTACCAAGTCTTTTCTCTTCTCCCATTACAGTAATAGTAAATTAAAAACTGACTGTTAGTCAATTCTATATTAGTTCGTTTATTAGATGTATCACACAGTGAAACAGTATTACTGTTTCCTGGATGACGTTTCGAGCACAATTTATTATTGTTCATAATCATTGCATCAATTATAATCACACGACTTCGAAACTTGAGTTTTACAGTTTTCTTTGTCCTCCCCTATTTGTCGTCGTTGGGGTAGTAGAATTTTCCAGATATCTGGGACAGGCGTTGAATCATTCCTATGTCAGTAAAAATAGGATTGGTGAAATGTTTAAGTGACAGAGCACAAAAACTAAGTAGTACCAAGGAAATTCTAAGACAGGAAATGATACATATAAGAGAAACCTTGAAACTTAATAATTACCCTGATAAATTAGTCTGGAAATATGTAGGGAAATATAAAAATAAAATAAATAATGATAGTAGTGATAGCGATAATAATATTAATGACGACATGCATGTCAAACATGCGCAAGACGACACCAACAATAAGGAATCTAAATCACCAGTAGTAATTCCATACAAGGAAGGAACCTCGGAAACCTTACGCAGAATTCTTAACAGGGCAAGAGGGAATAAAAGTGGTTTTCAAACCCACAAACTCAACTAGAAACAAGCTTTGTCGGTTAAAGGATCTGTCCTGTGGAGCCTTTAAAACAAAACAATTCAGTTTATCTAATACCCTGCAATGATTGTCAGGTCAAATACATAGGTCAAACTAGTAGAACAGGGGCAGTCAGACTACTCGAACATAAAAACCTAGCAAAATCTAGATTAGTTGACCTGAATAAGATAAGAAATCTGGAGAATAGTTCAGCTATAGCACTCACTACAAGCAGTTACACACAACCATACAATAGGATGGGATAGGATGACAGTGTAGGGAGAGATTGATAACAGAAGCTTTGTATATCGAATCATCTGCAAATACGTATAATAGGAATGATTCAACACCTGTCCAGTCAGATATCTGGAAAATTCTTCTATCCCAACGACCACTAATAGGGGGAGGACAAAGAAAACTGTAAAACTCAAGTTTCGAAGTCGTGTGATTATAATTGATATGATTATGAACAATAGATAAATTGTGTTCGAAACTTCGTCATCCAGTATAATAATACTGTTTCACTGTGATACACCTAATAAACAAACTAATATGGGATTACTTACTACCACAATGCCCAGATTTACACGTATATTAACTTGACTGTTAGTCAACATTTTATTACCTCTAATCTAAAAAAAAGTTGATTAAGGATAATTTGATTGGACACTAACCGGTATCATGAGTCTAGTCCTTTGTTCGATGTAGGTTGAGTCCTATCCAATCGACTGGGCAATGTGACCACCACATTCTAGGTGGCTCACTATCACAGAGTACACACACTGAATTGTTGTTATTAGATGATTGGAGGTAATGGGCAGGTTTTATGCTTGTTGGCACTCACTCACCAGTCAGCAAGGCGCATATCTGCAACCACTTTGAAGGAACTCATCTCCCTCCTTCTGAGGTTCAAACCCCGTGTCATTCATTGCTGCAGTCATCCCAGGTTATCATCCTTTATCACCCGCATCATCTTGCTTTCCTACTACTCTCAGTACTATTCTACAGACCAGGCAGTCAGTTAGCAGTCAGAGGCGTTACCACTCAGCTGTTCGGTCTCGCTAGTGGCCTCCTGTAGGACTGTATTGGATATTTTTGATTGCACACTAGTTAGTAACTTCCATATCACTGTTCTCTCTTTGCCTAACACTTATATTTATTATCTCTCCTCACTTTCTACTCTTGCTTTGTGTGATACATGGAGTGTGGGGCAGGTGTGAACTTGTGCACATCTGCGTAAAGTCCAATGTTGAAACCAATCAGTCAGTGCACTATGATGGCAAGCCACACCTGACCTGGCATGGTGGCAAAATCGCAAACTGAACTGGTAGAATTCATTCTGCACCAAACAAAGGACTAGACACATTACACTATTGACTAACTAATGTCCAATCAAAGCATATATATATATATATCGATTCTGTTAGGGGTTTCAGTGAGCTTCAATTTCAAATTTAGAAGATAGTATCTTCAAATCAACTGATTTTGTTTTTCTATAGTTTGGTTTGTAAGGACTAGTTATGTTTTTACGAATTGATCACAGACTGATATCAGTTAGAGAAAACCAGGGAGTACTGGACAGCTGCTGTTTCATCCCACTAGTTTGGGAATCATCGACATTGCGCACCCACTGCACTGTGGTTCGAACCCAGGACCTTCGGGTTACAAGACAAGCTGACTCGTATACCATTCAACCACTGGGACCCGAATTAATGGCCACCTCATGAATTCTAACTTCTGCCAATTCGTGATTAAGCGCGACCCCAACCAGTGTCGTTGGTGGGACATCCATCCACACACGTGGCATCTAATTGAACCTCACTGGTCACGACTTCTCACTAGAACTCCAGGAAGCTCCATCCTGTAACAAGTCACTAGCGAGCATCAGATTAATATTCTATAGTTTGGTTTGTAAGGATTAGTTATGTTTTACGAGTTGATCACGGACCAGAAGGTCCTGGGTTCGAATCCCAGTGTGTGAGTACTGCTGATGATTCCGAAGCTAGGATGAAACAGCAGCTGTCCAGTACTCCCTGGTTTCCAATGGTTCTCTAACTGATTTTGTTTTGTAATGAGAGAAATAAATCTTTTAAAACGAAAAAAATCAATAAATCAATAAACACAAATTCTTACCAATTGCAATACTGAAACTGACAATTGATCCATCTGGACAAAACAATGATGGACACACCGATACTATCTGACTGGAATAAAACTTCCAATAATCATATATGAAAGAAACACGTTTTGTTGCAACTAATTCAATAAAAAACAGGAAAGGCAACCGGGCGAATGTATCACCAATACGTGAAAGACTATCAATCATGGAGAGCGGAAACACACTGAACACTGCTTCAAAATTCCAAGATCTGAACTGGTGTAAGAAAATGAAGAAAAAAAGATACTAGTTAAGTAACAGAAGATATATAGGTTAGCAAGCAGAGATTAAGGCTTTTATAAAGATGTTCTATCCATAAAAATTATTTTAAAAAAAAGCTATGACCAGATGGCACAATACATATGCTCTTAGGCAATCAGTTACAAATTCTAGACAAACTTCACAATATTTCATCATACCAATTGTCTTAGCCTGCTAGAATCTCTAAGAAAGTTAGGTGGGGAAAAAATTTGCCCCTATCCCGTTCCATCTTGAAAGTCAACATAGACTAATTCTGAAGTATTACAGTAAATTTGACAAGTTGGATATGAATACATCCACAAGCCTAAAAAGGGATTTTGTCATAAAAGAAGTGTGTGTGAGGGCCTACAGGGAATTTTACGAATTATGAATGTATTCACTCAATGACAGTCATTTCTTTTCACTGATATTCTCAGCAGATTGACTACTACACTGGGCATAACTTCACTGGTGAAATCCCTTGCTGAATTCCCCAAGATAAAAGCTGTACTCATACACTTAATATGTACACCAAGATGCCAGTTAATCTACTCCATGTAACTGTTAATATAGAACATAACTCAATCATTCACTGAACTGAACAGGTCACACTTGATGCGGTGGAAAATTAACTTGGAATAGTAAACAAAAAAGTCTGTAATAATTCAAGAAAGTGTTGATATCCCCGAGTGGGAATCAAATTCTGTGCACAAGGTGATAATCCTGCTTAATCGGAGTTTCTTCTTCGTGAACACGGGTAAAATCAGTAAGAAAGTGGATAAAATTCCGTTCAAAATTGGTAAATTGAGGGGAAACAGGGTATTTTGTCCTTTAAAAAATGACGAATATGGTTAAAAGTAGGTATTTTATGTTGCCTTTTACCCAACCCCACACCAATAAATCTGTCAAATCGCTAGACAAATAAATATACTAAAATGTATACTATACTAAAATATACAGAAAATATACTAAAAATACAAAAACTTCAAATAAAAATTTTACTCTTCGCTCGAATCAGAGGTGAAATGACGCCATGGGCTGGCTGGTGAAAGCCTTCAGGAAGCCAGTCAGTTAGACGATGTATCTTCTCTTGATGAAAGCAAGAGTAAGATTGGGTACGTGGAATGTCCGTGCAATGTACGAGACTGGAAAGGCTACTAAAGTAGCCAAAGAAACGCGAAGATATGGCACAGAAGTGCCGAGTATCTGAGAAAGTAGATGGAATGGATGCAGATTGTCAAATTTGTCAACCGGAGAGGCAGTAATCTACTCCGGTCTGGTCACCCAAACGACAACCACGAGCACACTGAGGCAGTGAGTGACTATCATAATGTCATCAGTGACAGCCAAAGCACTAATTCAGTGGGAATCAATCTCTTCCTGCAGGATCATGACAGCAAGATTCAACTAAAAAGGCAGGAAGGTCACAACTACCCAATGCTACAAACAACTCGGAACAAGAGAAGGGAGATTTTTACAGACAACTACAAATATCCGAAGTGGTGCCATCAAAGTGATTACGTGCGATATGAATTAAAGCCAAACTGGGAGCAGACAATACAGGAAGAAAACTCATCAAGGGTCGAGAGGCTCTGGCTCGGCAGAATGAATGAGAACGGAGAATTATTCGCAGACTTAGGCTCTTTCAAAGATCCGATGATCGGAGGGAGCGTGTATAAACACAAGGATATATACAAAGCAACATGGATTTCGCCTGACGGACATACCACAAACCAACTATATTTCATATCAATTCTGCTCAAGGAAGTGGAGACGCAGCCAGTCTGTTGGATTCAAAGCCGAGAAAGGGGTTAGATATGGGCACAGACCATCATCCAGTTCAAGGAACCTTCAAGATGAAGCTGAAATCCATGAAAACAAATGGAGACAGACCACAATTCATGTTCAACATTCAGAAACTGAAGGAACTACCACAAAGGATGCCTTCGCTACAGATATCAGAGCAAAGTCGGAGACACTGCATGGTATCACTGAGGAAACCTGCGTGGAAGAACATTGGAACTCTCTGAAGGCGATATTCAAGGAAACGTGTACAACTGATATAGGAATACAGAAGAGGAAAGACAAGGAATGGCTCTCAATGGACACTTGAAAGCTAATAGAAGAGGGGAGAGGAAGGTGCTAAGTTCAATGTACACTGCACTGAATAAAGAAGTGAAGAAGAAGGCTAGAAAAAACAAACGAAGATTCTACGACACACTGGCAAGTGAAGCAGAACAGGCCGCGGGCAAGAGACATCAGGACACTACCAGATAACCAAGTCTCTGTCCGGAAAGAGATTAAAACCAGATGATGAAACTAATAGAAGATGCTCAAGGGAACCTGATCACCAAGGAGGAGAAACAAACAGAACAATGGGCTGGTCACTTTAAAGGACTTTTGAATCGACCACCAACGCCAACTCGCCCACAAATACCACCAACAGAACACACGGAAATACCAGTTGACACCACTCCTCCGACGAAAGAAGAGATCTTGAATGCACTCAAGCTACTGAAGTTCAGTCGGGAAGGCAGCAGAACCAGACGGCATTCCTCCCGAAGCACTGAAGACGGTGCCAGAGATTACGGCAGATGTTCTCACTCCATTACTGCAAAAAGTCTGGAAAGAAGGAAAGGTGCCCACTGATTGGAAGAAGGGCTGGCTACCGCATCAAACTGCCATAGCGCGACTTATATCTGTGCAAGAACTAGTGTGGAATAATGCTCTTGTCCGCGTTAAGTAAGATACTAGGTCGCATCATCCTGGGAAAAATAAAGCATGCACTGGAAACAGAACTCCGCCAACCACTGGAACAAACTGGATTCAGGAAAGGCAAATCATGTGCTGATCAAGTTGCAACTCTACGCACCATCATCGAACAGAGCATAGCATGGCACTCAGACCTCTCTCTGCCTCAACTTCATCGACTTCGAAAAAGGCCTCCAACAGACAGCGTTGACTGTGAAGTAATTCGGATACTACTTCAACACTACGGTGTACCTCAAGTCTTTATCAACCTCATTCAACAGCTATATGGCAGTGGCACATGTCAAGTGATCCACAACAGAAAACTCAGTGAGGTGTTCGAAGCGCATACCGGAGTAAGACAAGGCAGCCTGCCAATCATCACCGATGATATTCTGGACTGGATTGTGCGTCAGACTGTTGGGGGTGGAGTCAAGAATACGCTGGACGACCAATAAGAAGACTCGAGAAGATCCGGATTTCGCAGGTGATATGTCTCATGTGACAAAAACTTGAAGACTTGCAAGCAAAGACCAGCAAACTGGCTGAGGAGACAGCGAAAACAGGACTGCATGTGAATACAGAGAAGACGGAGGTGAAGATAACCAATGGCAAAAACAACCAGCACCAATCACCATCGACGAGAGATTTAACAGAGGTTGCCTCCTTCACTCATCTGGGAAACATCGTTTCAACTACAGGCGGAAAGGATGAAGATGTCACACCCAGCCAGACAGAATCGTAAAGGCAAGATACGCACGCCTTCATCAACCTGAAACCAATTTGGAAGTGATCTTCTACACTCAGCATAAGGAACACATTTTCAACACCAATGTCAAGTTGGTCTTTCCATACGGGTTAGAAACTTGCACTGCATGTAACGGAAAGCATTTCCAACAGCCAGTTGCAGACTTTCATCAACAACTGCCTTCGCTCCCTACTGAAGATGAAATGGCCAGAAGGAATAAGCAACAAGAAACAATGTGAACAAACCAACAGGCGAGAGCCGATCACTCAACAAATATGTTGGAGAAAGTGGAGATGGATCGGGCATACATTGAGGAGGCCGCCGAATGACATCGCACGCCAGGTCCTCAAGTGGAATCCGAATGGGAAGTGACGAGTAGGTTGTCAGTGCCAGGTTGACATGGAGGAGATCGTGTGAAGAAGAGATGAGAGAGTTTGGTCAATCGTGGACTTAGCTAAAGAGGGCGGCAGAAAACGGAACAAAGTGGAGATGTGTTGTTGAAGCCCTATGTTCCACTCGGAACGCAAGGAAATAACAATAATAATGATATTTTGACCTTACCAGATTCTAGAATAAGTATTGCTACAGACTAAAGTTCGCAGTATATTTCAGAGCAGCCAACCAACGGACCAGACCTCGTCAACTCTAGGCATGGAGGCTTACGCCGACCGTGCCAAGGACGCTTGATATTTAAACTAACCGGCGTATTCTTTGCTTAAACGTAACCTTCGAATGGAGAGTGAAGTGTTTTTGAAATCCTAGGAATGTGAAGGTAAGCACTTTAATAACCCCACATTCTAAAATTTTTGAACGATATTTTAGTGTTTTTATTGGCTACTGGACAGCTAAAATACTTTTAAGTGAAACTAGGCTCCCTTAATTCCCATCACTGCAATATTCATATTCTGACTTTTATCTGAGGACAGAAGGCTTCAGACCTCCCTTAATCCTTTCCTAACAGGTAACTGTGCTTGTCCAATCTCCTACTGGATGATTCGTTTCAGTAGGGATATCTTAGTATCAGGAGTTTATGGCTTGTTGGGACAACCAGTAATCCTCAGAGATATGGTTCCTGCCTACCTTTTGAATTCTCCTGCTGTGTCCTCTAATATACTCGGACCTGACGGGAGGAAAAGAGAAGATTTGTCAGGTCCAAAGTCATTTCTCAGATTTTTAAACATCATGATGAGGTCTCCTCCCTACATAGTGTATGATAAGGACAAAACGGTTAGACCGTGAAGTCTGTCCTGCCAGAAATCGTACGCTTATCCTTTCCTTGATTCGTTCTAGCAATACATTAGCCCTCACTAAAACAAGGGCTGAGGCGTATATTAGGTGGTGAATTCTAGTGAAGCCCTGCGTACTGCTCATAAGGATCTAAATCTTTGAACTGCGGCCACACAACAGTGTACGCTAGTGCTCAGGTCATTACATACTATGACATTATTATTAATCAACTGGAGTATTGAAATCAATGGAACCTACGTGGGCCAAACGAGCAATTTTGATCGGCCAAGGCGGTAAAATGCTATATAATCCAACTGCTCTGCCCAAATTGGCCAATTCTTTCCGGTTTACCCACACTACTCATGTTTTAACCCATTTATCCCATTTTCAGAAAGGCGAAAATTCCCCCCTTTTTCACACTTAACCCACTTTTTCAACGAATAAATAACCCAATTTTTCCCACTGCACCCACACTTCTAATGAAAAAGGTCCCATTTTACCGCATTTAACCCACGTTTTAGTCGACCTACTTTTCAATATCTCCCCTGTTTCTACCCAGTTCGCAAAGGGAATACTTACACATTGGGCCCTCTACAGCTATTATCAGAAATAATTTTACTACAGCTACGAGCTTAATGACTACTGCCTTTAGAATCTGATACCTCGACAACCCAGTATTCCACTGATAAAAATTAAGGCGAATGCAGTTAGGGCATTTTATATTTTACGCACTGAGATATATATTTCATAAAAGTAGTAACTTGGTGAGGAATTTTATGATATGATTTCATAAATCATTCTGGGGACGGTGATTGGCTGAGACCAGGTTTAACGATATTGACACGCATCTATAATGAAGGAAAGAAGAGAACAGTTGAAAACATGGAAATAACCATAAAGTGCATAAAAAAGGGGGACACTTGTTCCTTAAAAACTACCTCTTCTGTCAATAATCAAATTTCTCGGAGTCGTTGATCATGGCACCAATTTTTAGTGACATAGACTATCACTTTAAGTGCTTCCTCCCCGTTAGACCTATGTTCTAACTGCTTACGAATGATGATATCTGAATTCGTGGTGAGTACAGAATGTCCTGTTTCAGCATAACAACTATAAACTGTGAAAATGTGTAGTCACAGACGTCGATGCTGTCCAGAGTACCCTTGTGAGTCATCAGATTTGCTGAGCTTCTATCGAAGACTGCGCTCAGCAAACCACGCGTAGACGCCGTTGCGTCATTTTCCACCTTGAATGAAAGTTGGCACACCTAAAACGAAGTTATTAAGGAAATTCGGCTGAAATTCCTTACTATTTGTTCAAAATACTTCCTGTGTTTAAGTTTACGATCGAAAATCTGTGGCATAGCCAATAATTTCACCGGTAGCTTGAAATCATGTTCGTAATCATCAGTTCTGCTTTCATTGGCAGTTGCATACATGGAGTTCAGACGCTGAAGTATTTTCGTTTGCACTTCACGAATTGTGTCTATAGAAGCTGTTTAATAATTATAGGGTGAACAAAACTATGAGGCAGAGCTTTGCCTTTTATTTCTTTCATGGTTTTCAATATTTCCTGAAGTGTGCCAGCATCCCTGGATCATCTGAGAAGGAATGGCTATTAAGATTGGTATAACTTACGGAACTGGTGTACTTGTAGTAGCAGTCAACTGTAAACTCCTCTACGACAAGAAGCCGAAACTAATTCATAGTTATGTTAGGTCTTACAACTACCATAACTCGTATTCCTCTTCGAAGCCGATATACTATTATTCAGGTCGGCATAATCTTGGTCGTCGAAGACATTGTACTGCTCATCCATCAGGTCAGATGGGTAGTTGTGATCAACGAAATTGTCGTTTTCCGGCGCACTAAGTAATGAATCGGATACTAAAGTATTCTTAAGTTTGTCATCGCTTCTGTGTGCACATTGCGGTTGATTTCGAGGACTGATTGCAATAAGTGGTGCTGTAGTTTCTTCGCTATGCCCCGCGCCTTGCAAGTACTTCCTGCAAATCATCTGGATAAATAGTTGAGTTACATAACGGCTAACTTGTTTCATAAATGACCTCCCATTGGTGCATATTCTAGTGTACTCATGGATATTCTTCCTCATGCTCAGTTCCGTAATTCTCTTGGCTGCAAACAACAGCACAGATGATCCTAGCTTCACTGTGTCGCCCGGTCCGTCCGAATCAGGTGACGCTTTTGCACGTGTTTTCATTTGTATTCATTTATTGCTTACTGTTGATTGATCTTTAATAACGATGGGCCGAAATTCTAAAAAGAGTGTTCGTGTGAACACCAGTAATTTAGAAAATAGCACCAGCTCGTCTAGTAACACATTACCACCCCTTATTATTAGTAGTTCACCCAACATAAAATACTCGAACATAACTCTGACCCCGTAATGCAGGTGGAAGATGTTCTGTCTGAAAAGGTAGAGCTCTCTTACTTAACATGCATAATTAAAGAGATGCAGCTACAGATAGATGAATTAAAAACGAAATTAAGTTCACTAGAATGTATACCCGAAACAATCTCACTTATGAAAAAGGAACTGCAGGATCCTACAATCCTAAAGCTTTTTAATACGACCTCTAGAATGACGCCTACTGACTCAGAAAATGCGAAGGAGTTAGAAAACGCCATTGACTTTCTATCCAGCGAAGTTGTTAAAAGGCTGGCTTCGAAACAAAACGCTATAGTGTATAATGTACCAGATAGCGAGCCCATAAAGTCGGTCCAGCACTCATTGCTGAAGGCTGCAAATCTGTTGAGTGCACCTTGTCAGTGCATTCGCCTAAGTAAAAAAGACCTAAAGCATCCCTGTCCTATACTCTTTAGGTTCGACAGCTACATAATAGCTGAACGATTTAAGAAGGCCGAAGATCTTCTGGCTACCGCCACTAAATTCAAGACTATTAAGGTAGTCTCCGATAAAACACCTAACCAAAGGCAAGCAACCAAGAACTTCTCCGATACAAAGTTGACCACACCGAGAAATACATCTGGTATCAGTGCTGTATGTAACGCGCGCTGTTTGAAAAAGGGAGTGCTTTTTCACGTATTTTCACGTATTTGACAAATTGCTGTTTTTGTTGTGTTATTCACTTCGAGAACATTTAAAAAAACTTTAACTTGACTTTTGTCTGTTAAGTTTTGATTTTAAACATTTATATAGTCTATATTGGGTAAATTGTCTTGGCTGTTCCAGTAGTTCATTATGTCAAAAGTACCACATAAATGTAATAGGGTGGAGTGTTACTTTTTGGTAGATGATGGAATACAGTGTAATAACTGTAAAAAGTGGTATCATAAGATGTGTACTGGATTACGTCCAGCTGCATACAAACGTTGTATTGCTCCAACATCCAACTGGATGTGCAGAATGTGCTGCTCCCCAAAGATGACTTTGATAAGGGAGGCTCACGAACTACTGTCTAAGGCTATGGAACTTCCTGATGATAGCGTGGCTAGTAATAGTGACACAGACTGCCCGTCTGAAGATGACGCAGCAAGTGCCATCATGAATGTTACCACACCGGCGGTTACTATCCCAGTTACCCCGGAAGTAAAACCTACTAGGCGTTCGAAGCGTCTTAGTAAGCGAAAGGGTAACAGAACGGAAGCTGCAAACAGCATCTCAGCACCAGAGAACACTGTAAGCGAAGTTCACCATGAAGGTGGTGCAGACACTGATCTCGATTGTACCATCAAAAACTGCAGCAGCCCTGAGAAGCAACTGCAGGCAGATGATCAGTGGGTAACGAAAATAAGCAATCGAAAGAAACATAGTAATATTGATGGTAAGCAAACGTCTGTCACCTGTAGCCAGGCTGCATCAATAGTGGTGAGAAAAGACGTAGCCACTGCTAAACACGACAAGCTCTCCTTAGACTCTAACATAATTGTTGGAAATTTAGAAGAGTCCAAAGAATCTGATCCCGTAAAAAGGCACGATCACGACCTTAAATTAGTGAGTAGTATTATAAGGAAGATGCTTCCAGCGAATTTCCCTGGAGTATCGATTAAAAAGCTGATTAGAATAGGCAAAAGAGATGATGAATGTTCTAATCAGCGTAGATTGCTTAAAGTAGTCTTAGGTTCTCCTGATGAACGGAATCATCTACTGGCTAATGTACACAACCTTGCCGGGTCAGGAATTTCAGTCAGACCTGATTTATCTCTTGAAGACAGACTTAAACGAAAAGAAGTTTTGTCCCAGCTAGAAACAAGACGTAAAAATGGTGAGACTAACCTTAAACTGGTGGGTTTTCAAATAGTCAGGTCTTGGAAACGTATGCTTCCAAGACCTGTGTGGATAAGCCGGACCGCATAGGAAGCCTGAAGGTAGTGTACACTAATATACGTAGTATCGGGAACAAATTTCATGAGCTAGGTGTATTAGTGGAAGACCTTAGCCCAAGTATTGTGGCCATTACTGAAACATGGCTGGTTTCTGGATTAGATGACACACCTGAGCTATGCGGATTTA